TTAAATTTTTCCATGGTAGGGGTTTCCCCGGCAGGGTTTCCCCGGCAGCCAGGTTCCCCGAGCCCCCCCCCCCCCCCCCCCCCCGGCCGGCTGCGCTACCCTTCCTAGTGGTTCAGGCTCGCCCAGGCCCGTGGGACGAACGGGCATGGCAGACGGCGCGAACGAGGGGGGAGGGGGGGTTGACGGGGCTACTTCGACTGCATCTTGCGCTACCCACCCAAGACGGTATCACACAGCGCCCGCGTCGGCGTTTGAACTGCAGAAATGGAAGGTCACATATAGCCCTGTGATGAGAGAGAAACAAACCCCTACGTACTTTGCCTTGGATGACCCAGCCAGCCTCGAACGCCTCCTCCGAAGCGCTTGGTGGTTCTAGACTTGTCTGGCCGGTCCTCCTCAGTGTCCTCACCAGCAACATACATGGCTGTGAGTAACCTGGCGAGGGGCTCGCCGGCAGTGTCAAAGCAAGAGGAGAGATGTATTGTTTTGGTGTTCGGCTTGGTTCTTCCGTCTCGATCTCTGTCTTTATGTCTCTCTCTTCTTCTGCCTCCTCACTTCCTTCTTCCCTTTCTTGCATCCTTCTTTGCCCCGCCTACAGCTGACAGGGGACCCTCCCCCCACCCTTTCCCCGAAGAAAGGCTTTGTCAGGACGTGTCTAGAACACACACACAAGGCGGCGCGGAGGAGGAGGAGGAGGAGAAAACGAAGAAGAAGAAGAAGAAGAAGAAGAAGAGGGAAATGACGACATGAGAACCACAGGCGTGTTGCAGAATTACGGGTAACGAGTAAGAAGGCGTCAGCGCCTCGGAATTCGGTCGCTAAGAGGAATAGTTGGCTCGGAATATTGAGAATTGGGACGAAACCGCAGGAGGATCAAAACCCGGGCCGCATGGTTGTTGGGATGAACGTAGTTTCGAAGGGCAAGAGGAGGCGCAAGAGAGGGGAGGGAGGGGCGACGTCTCGAATAGAGGCTGGCCGCGAGGGACGCCTTTCTTGGCTGCTGTCAGACGCGGAGCCACGTGTGTTTGATCGTGTCTTCCAGGATTCGATACCTCACGCCACACTGGATGTCTTGTAGGAGGCGTTCCGAGAAATCCAAATCCACCTCCCGGGGTTTAGCAGGGTCGAGTCACGTCCCGAGGCCCTTGAAGCGATGCAGCTCCCCCCTAACTATGTACAAGTAGTTTGTGAGTATGAACACCACCAGCTGAAGGACGAGGTGGTGGTGAACCGTCAGAACTCCTCCTCCCTTCCCCTCACCTATGGGAAATGAAGTTCGCGGGAGGGGGTCAACCAGGGCGGCTGACTCGGTGTCGAACGCTGTGGGTATGCCCTTCATTTTGGGTGAGGTGGTATTTCTCATGGGGCTGTGGGACCCCTGGTGCATGATTCCCCTTCACATGGTCAAACTTCTAGCGATGCTATTCGAGAGTTGCCTCAGCCCTTGGCTTGGATCTCTTGCCTTCGCCAAGTCAAGCGGGAGAGGGAGGTAGGATACGCCCCCTCTCCGTTCTCTTCTCACTCAAACGGCATCTGCCGTGGGAGGGGGTCTCAAACAATGGCCTTATTAATCGGCTCCATCAGCACCACGTGTGTGACGTGAGCCAAACTGGCCGCAGGGGATTTGGGCTTTGTAAGTTGGCGAGACGATTATTGATCGTCATATAGAGGTCCACCCCGGAAGTTTTCCATTTGCCGCACAACGTCTCCAGACGCGGGGTCAACCTGCGCGTAGGGATGCAGTGGGCTGGACCTCACGCCGCAGGAGGGGACCGCACACCCAGGCGACCCAACGCAACGCCACCAGGTCGTCGCGAAACCTGGGTCAAGTTCTCGGAGCGGCCGAAGCGAAAGTTGGCCATGACTATATCACGCAAAAACCAAAGCGAGATGAACGTGTCTTGCCCGGCGGCCTTACCTCCCTTGTTCCGAAGCGTCGAGCGTGCCCGACGGGAACGGTCCGGTTCGTGCGTTTGCGGCGCAGGCTGGCCAACTTGCTGTGACGTCTTTCCGGGCACGCTTGGTGATGGACCTTGTTGAGGGGAGGCGCTTGGATTCGAACCCCTCCTTTCTGGCGTGGCAGTGTTGAGTTTCGGCAGTTGGGCAGACCTTGATCATGAGGATGAGGGGGGAGAGGAGGAAAAAGAAGATGACGGAGAGAACTGGCTGCGGTCGATGCATCTGATCTGCGTTTAAAAAAAGTCAAAACAGACGGTTTCAGAACACCGGCCGTTCCACATGCTCCCGATGAAGAGGCGGCGGCGGACCTTTTTGACGGGTGACGCGGAGGGGGAGGCGTCTGGTCGGCTGGACGCCTCTGAGACTGGTGTTTTCTGGTCTCTCTGCGCGCCCTTGGTTGCTGACGTGGGGGTCCGAGGGGAATGGTCCGAGGGAAGCCAATGTGATCAACCTGTGTCTCGTGGCTCTATTGCAGTGGCAAGTCTGCCCGAGTGTTTACAATTGCTGTAGCGGCAGGATTGCCAGAAACGCTTGCTCACACAGTAGTCTGTCTGATCTCGAGGAAAACAAGTGCTGATTTTTTAGGAAACAAATACTTGGTTGATCATCTATGCTGCACGACTCTGACAGTGCTACTCTACTTTGTGATCCTCCGGATATAATACACAGCTTTAAAGAAGACAGTTTGGGGGTGCAGAGTCTCCACTGAGCGCCGGTTTGCTCTCATTATAAGATCGTCATTATAGTCATGCAGGCAGGCCATCATATGTGCGTCCCGGCAGGTGTATCGACAAGACAAAGAAAAAGACCAGATGGTGCGTGCAGGCCGGGTCTACCGTACATCGAGGAACAGATCGTCACCCCTCCTGGTCGGGGTAAGCGTAGGGTGCCATCCAGGGGTCGTCGGGGGCTGCAGCGACTGCTCGTCTCGGGAGAAGGTGTTGTTGCTGTTGTTTCTGCTGCTCTCCTGCTCGCCGTCGCGGTTGTCGCGGCGCCACCGGCTGCCTGCTGCCAACTCGTCGCTCTGCAGAGCCAGGCCGGCCGCGCGCTCGCTGCCCAGGCGCTTGGTCGCGAGGGAGGAGAACGAGGAGCACGAAGAGGACCCGTCGGAGCGATCCGGCCGCGGGAGACCAGGCCTCTGCTGCTGCATGTGCTGCTGCGGGTGCCAGTGGTACTGGTGCCGGTCGTGGTGCGTCCTGGGCGCCGTCGGCGCGGGGCCGTCGTCGTCCCCACGGCGCGCGGTAGGCGGTCGTGTTCTCGGGCGCCCCAGAGCGCGCGATGGATCTGGTGGACCAGTTGCGGATCTGTCGGTCCCTCTGTCTCGTATATCCTGGCGGCCTGCGCCTGCTGCAGCGGGACGTCGGCCCTCTGCGGTTGCGGCCGCTGAAGACGCAGTGGTTGCGGATGCGGCGAGGGCGACGGCGAGCGGGATGGCGGTACCATGCGCAACGTCGGCGAGCCTGTTCTGAACTGTGATGGATCGGGACGGGGAAGCGATGACAGCCCGCCTGGTGAGGGCGCAAGCTTCTTCCGGTCGGGATGCCGAGAGGGCACTACCTGACTTGCCATCTCGTTCGGACCTCTGGATGCCGCTCCAGCAGCCGGCTGCATCAGGCCGAGCGTCGGACTAGGCTGGCCGGGTGGGGATGCATACATAGGGCGTACGGGCGGCGGATGGACTTGCAGATTGGACCTGTTCAGCCGTCCGGGAATCGCAGGGTAGGAGACTGGGGACCGCCCAACACCCGAATACGGCGATTCGACCACGGGAGAGAGGCTGCCCGGCTCGGGTGCAGTACCATCGTCTCCATCGAAGCCCCCGCTCGAACTGGAAATGGTTGTAGCTGATTGTTGAGACTTGTAGGAATCGTGGCGGTCAGTGCCGTCCTGGCTGACTCCTTTTCGGTGTGAACGGCTCTGACTGAGGCTGTTGCTCCTGCGGCGCGGCGGTTCCGGGTGGGAGAAACTCATGGGAGGTACTTGGTGACCAGGTAGACTCTGGGCTTGGGCATTCTGCTCTGGTCCGGTTCCGGGCCAGACAGTCACGGGGCGAGCCGGTGGCACATCCTGAGCCGACTTGATGTGTGCTGGTGGTAGCAAACCCAGGCTCGTGGGCAGCGCAGGTCCCTTGGGTGCCGAAGGGGCCACTGGACTCCCGGCGCCGTGTCCGATGCCGACCTGTGAAGCTAGCGATGCGTTTACAGCCGCCAATCTGAATGTCTTTTCGCTGTTGGATGCAGTCAATGGTGTTGGTGCCTCCAGTTCAGCAAGCTCAGCAGCTTGGGCCTTTGACTTTGGGTTTCCGAGAACCCAATTGCCGTATGTGTCGGCAACATAATATGTTGTTGCAGATTGTGGGTTTGACGACGGAGGTCGCCAAACCTGTGAAAAACCTCGGCCCACCAGTGATGGGTGCCCAGAGCCATCCTCTTCGAATTCCGTCATGGTGCTCTCGCGGAGGTTCGCATGAACAGGTGGCGGCGCTGTCAGCTGCGCGACCTGAGCTGCTTGGATCTGAGAGTCTGTCTGGTGCTGGCGCTGTCTACCTTGCCCCTCGGATGCATGTAGGGTAGGAGGAGTCGATGATGTGAGGCTGACCTTGGGAATTGTCAACGACAGCATCGGCCTTGGTGGTGAGTCTGGCTTCGGCGGTAAAAGCCTCGAAGTTCTTCGGTGAAAGGGAGACTTTACGACCAGTCTCTGCTCACTTGTCGGACGTGACACGGCCAAGCCGATGGCGTCTGGACGCCAGCTTTTTCTTGAATAGTCAACAGGCCGAAGCAAGGGTGACTTGCCGTGGATGGGCGGGGAGATGTGGAAAACATTGTCCTGTGCCTCTTTGGGGTTGAAACCCCAGGAGTCACGATTGGTGATGGACGTCGACCTGTTGTCGGATCCAGAAAGCTGCCTCTTCCTCCTTCGCCTGGCGAGCACAAACGCTGCTATCAATATGCCTGCAACTGCTGCGACACCGACTGAGAGGCCGGCAAGCTGTGCTGTTCCGAGTCCACCAGATTCGTCATCGGTAGGCTCGGCTTGCGCAGGCCCTGGCGTAGGGGTAAATTGAGAGCTCGAAACATCAGTGGGAGTCAAATTTGAGGCGGACCCGGCTTCATTGGATGAAGCAGCCTCCCTGGTCGAAGTTGCCAGAGTTGTGATATGTGTTGTGCGACATGCTGACGTAGGCGTAGATGATGTTGTCGCCAATGAGGACCGCGTCGAAGAGCTTGAGGAGGTCTGGGGGGAAACCAGCTTGACGCCACCACCGGTAGCCGGAACGATGAAAATGGCCTCAATGGCCGTGTGTGTCGAGAGAGCGGCGCTGGGCTGACCAGAGCACATGAAATATGCTGTATCTATCGTGTTCCCTTTGGTGGTCTGTTAGCATTCACTTGTCCACGATGTTCCGCTGATCTGCCTCGGCTTCACGTACTGTCAATCTCCCCAGCTGCACAAGATCCTATCGACTGTTCCGCTTCGATACATTGAACTGCGCCCTCACCAATGGTGAATCCTGAAGTGCCCGTCTCAGCACACAGACACTCGAGTGAAGTAGTCGTGTCGCAAGACGTCTCGGCAAAGTTGTCGTTGAGAAAGGAGACGAGGCACCCGCTTGCGCAGTTTGGAACGAAGCGTGCGAGATGCCCCGTGAACTTGAATTGGTCCGCCGCAATGGCGATGCTGAATAGTGCAAAGGTCCAGAATAAGCTGGCAAGCGGCTTGGTGACCATCCTAGGAAGGGACATCTAACCCTGTTAAAGCTGCGCACAATGAAGCAATCGTCGCGTCAGCTCACCTGAAGACCTGTCCCATCCTTCATGCGTTGCAAGGAAATGGCGTTGAATCGCAGTTGGCTATTGAGAGTAGGAAACCCGCTAGGAGGTATGACCTGCGGCAGTACGATCTGATGGACGGTGTTGATTATAGAATATTGAGTTCCAAGCCATGAAAGATCAATAGAAAAGGGGGATATAGTTCAAGACGCCCAGCATCCCATGTTTGGAACAGAACCTGAAGCGGCTAGAGTTATGCTCGTAAGTCCGGTCCAAGGAAAAAAATACAAGCAGCAGAATGAAAAGAATTAAGCTTCGCTTGAAAAGAGAAATGGGGAGGAGAAGAGAGGAGAGAAGGAGGGGGGACCGGGCAAGTACGAGAAGATCGAGGGGCCCGGCGGTTCATGAAGAGACGGACATGCAGAGTGGTCGCGCCTGGCGACACGATGAAACTTGATAAACGACTAGATATACAAGCGGGTGGCCCGCGTCTACATGTACAGACCTGGTCTGCAACCATGACTGAGCCCCCGTCTCGGGGTTCTCAGATGCCGCTCGTCATCGTGGCGGGCTACAGACTCGGCGCCAACAGAAGTCCAGAAGTGACGGATGGCCACCTTGCTCTCGTGTGATGCGCGCTCTGGTTTCTGCAGTCGCGTTGCACCGCTGGCCCCTGGTGCCTGTTCGTTTGGGGGCGCCAGGATGCGGAAGATCGCCAGGGCTGACGAAGGGGTGGCCCAGTATCTCGGCGTCATTTACGCAGAACCTCTGAAAAGCGAGCGGAATAATCCGGTGGAGCGGACCAGACGCAAGCCTCTTGTCGCTGGATGCCTCACACACTCAAGTCTGGAACTCCAAGGAGCACTTGTCGGGCGCTCGCCAACAACAATGGTTGGCCGAGGCATGGCTGTTTCGGGGGCCAAGGTGTTCCATCTGGATGTAGGCTACAAGGCTCTGCGGTACATTTTCACCAGTCCAGCACACCACGGTGAAAAGTCCAAAGGCTGTCGTCCAATCGACTGGAGAGTATGAAGACGCTGGCATGCATCATGGCTGGTCGTGGTTGGATGTTGCCGATCCCGAATCTAGGCGCCCTGGTAATAAGCGCGTAGCGAAGCGCTGAGTCGAAATATGACGTCCGAGTCACGTGACGTGCCTCTATTGAGTCAGCCTTCTCGTCCAATCATCATAGCTCATTTGCCCGTTTCGTAGTCGCCCAGCAAGCCAAACGCTGTGAGTCTGCAGCCATGATGCTCACCGGCACGTTTCAAGGACGCTGTCAATCTCGTCCTGATAGTATGACGATACCGGAGTCTTGCAGTTTTCTTCTCAGAGACCGATGGCGGCCGTCAGTGGCACACAGTGACATGGGGTGTTCCTGAGTTGACTACGGAACAACCCCCAACGCAACCTGTCCATTGAATTCAGCTTGGGGCCGGATCGAGGAAATCGCGATCCGGGACGCGAATTAGACTTGGACTTGCAGATTGGTGACATGGCAGAACCAGATTCTTCCGTTCCGACGCCGCCCCCGTTCGGGCGTCCTTGGCCTCCATCGCTCACATGGCAGGAGAATGCATGAAGAAATAGCTCGTCGTTCCCGTAGTCTCATTCTTGGTATCTTGCGTGTCATTCGCTTCATCTACTTTTCACCAAAAACGGCCAGGCCATAGGCCTCACCTATGCGCAGCTCCCCCGGCGCCATGAACCACCCGCCCTCTCTTGCCTTTCCGTTTGCTGACCATGTTTACCACCGTAGGCTCGCCAGACTCTATGCGGACGTCGTCGCAGTGGGCTCGGCGCCTGGAGCCGCTTCGCTGGCAGCAGCAGCTCTGGCAGCATCTGTGGCACTCGGAGCAAACGCAGCCTTGGCACGGTTGGACTTGATGACCTTTTGCACAGCTTCTTCGGCAGAGTCCCAATCAGACGTGTCGAGCTGGACGAGATCGATTTGATACAGCTCAGCAATCGCCGACAGAGCCTGGAAGCTCTTCTTGTCCGAGACAAAGCTGATACTGACGCCGATGCGACCGAATCGGCCAGTTCGGCCAATTCGGTGAAGATAGGTCTCCGGGTCAGGCTCGGTATCGCCTCGTCCCTTCATGGGGATGTCGTAGTTGATCACCATCGAGACACTAGAAACGTCGATACCTCGGGCCAGCACATTGGTTGTGAGCAAAACCTTGGAACGGCCGCTTCGGAACTCTTCCAAAAGTCGGTCGCGATCGTTACCATCGAAAGCGCCGTGCAGTGCTGCCACTCGGTGACCATCTGCCTCCATGCGCTTCTGGATCTCATTGGCGCTCTCGCGAGTCTGTGGTAGAAATGTCAGCATGCAGGTCCCTGAGTACTGTGACTGACAAAACACGTACCCTGACGAAGATGACCGAGGAGCCGATAGTCATGAGGCCGTAGAGTTTGACAAGATTCTCGTATTTTGCATCTTCACTGTCACAGTCGATGTACATTTGCGAGATGCCAGACACTGTAAGCTCCGTGTGCTTGAGTCGGATCTGGTCAGCGCCCTGGGCAAACTTTTCGGCAAAGCCCATAACCTTGTCGGGGAACGTCGCAGAGAACAGGAGGATCTGAATGTTACGGGGTAGAGTACTGGACGGTGTTAAGGTTTGATCAGCCGTGCGGGGTGGCGAGCATGGAGCCTTACCTCTTGACCCGGACACACTGATCACCAAGGCCTTGCTGGTCCAGCATGCTGTCGGCCTCGTCAATGACGAGGAGACGAAGCTGGGAGACGTCGAGTTGCCGGCGGCGAGTAATGTCCATGACGGTACCGGGCGTGCCCACGATAACATTGGCCTGGACAGGAGCGCCACGCTCCAGAGCGCCTGGGAGAGCAGCCGCAACCTTGAGACCCTCACAAAAGTTTCCAATCTTGTTTATCACACCTTCGATCTGGCGAGCAAGCTCACGGCTGGGCGCGAGAACAAGGGCCTGAGGCTGGTTGGGTTGACTCAAGTCGATGCGAGACAAAATGGTGACGACAAAGGCAGCAGTCTTGCCGGTTCCCGACTGAGATTGCGCGATCATGTGACGAGGAGGGTTTTGGAGCATGAGAGGAAGGGCCTTCTCCTGGATCTTCGAAGGCTTGAAGTAGTTCAGGCTGAGGAGACCTTTGAGGATAGGCTCGGAGCTGTCATGACGAAAGTCAGAAACGATTCGGCATACTGCACCCGTTTGTGGGGGACGGAACGGACAGGTTCATTTCCTTGAAGGTCTTTGCTGAGTAAAGAGTGCTGTCGGGATTCTGTTGAAGATCACCCAATTTGATGTCGACATCGTAGCTGTTCTCGACGAGGCCCGAGTCTGCGCCGTCGAGCTGGGCATCCTCAAGGTTGGCAGGGTCGCCCTCAGCAGGAGGGTTCGTGGGGGGGTTGGCGTCGGCCATTGCGCTTCGTCTATTCGAAAAGGAAACACCAGGCGGCTGTGTCCCAAGGTGATGGGCTGGTCGGAGCCGATTGATTGCACAGCCAGGTCGTTGCTGCTGCTGCCAAGTGCGTTAGACGAGGAGGGGCGGTGATGGGGAAGCTGTGAGTCGGCGCGATTTCATGCGCGAGGATAGAGGTGGGGGCAGACGTACTGGGCTAACACGAACTGTATGGTCGCTGAAGAACCTTGGTCTCAGCACGAAGAAAATGGTAAAATCGTGCTTTCGAACTGTGTCGCGCTGGTTAATGCAAAGGTGTCAAAGACTTGACAAGATCCGATTCCAAATTTGGGTGGAAATTCTAGGAGCTCCTTTCCAGGTGTTGCCTGACAGGAGCGGCAAACATGGCGGGGCAACAGCTCAGATCAGGTACCTCGCCAGGCACTGCTGGTGCTGGGCGCGGGGCATCGCGGGCGTTTTGCCGAAGATCTACCGTTTGAAGGAGCCCAGGCGTGCTTGCCTATGGATGCAGAAGGCAGCTCCAGGTACCAATGACTATCCCTGAATGACCTTCCACTTTCCCCACATCCATTGATGGGCCGACAGTCGGTCGTCAGACCATTGGACCGAGCATCCGGGAAAAAGCCACAGGTGACGGAGGGTAGAGGTACCTAAGGTTAGGGACTTGGGCAAAGTATGGCCGGCCAGTTGTGCCTGACGTGGGGACAAGATCGACCCGGACAACCAGGAGCCTCCCACAACTACCTGCCCTTCCTTGCCTTCCAAGGTAGCTATGTACAGAGAGAGGCACGGAAGGAAGGCTGACGACGTCCTGGCTTCGTAATCTACCTACCTTACCTTACCTTACTTCACGTCCCGAAAGAGTTCTGCTCGAACTGGATGCCTTACCTTGATCACATTTAACCTTTCTGCATCTGTTCCCATCACGAGTCTGTCTGTCAACCTATTTGACGTAGGTCAGGTAGCCAAACTGAAATCCACCCGTCTGCTGCCTCAACCCGTCTTGGACCTACGTCGACTTATCTACCTACATCCATCTCTCCAAGGCACCTCCAACTGAGGTGGTGCGCCTGTGCCTCGCATTCGCAGCTTCTCGTTGGTGCCCACACCACTCCAACTCGACTGCAGCCAGTCCTTCCGCTTCGGGGCTCCGTGCCGTACGAACGACGCTTTAGCTCTGCCACTCTGGCTACCTACCAAGAGGTACTTTCGGCCCTCCAACCCAGGCGGGGTTCATTTGAGGCCAGCACTGCCCACCCACCCAGCTTCTCGACGCTTTGCGCATTGATCTGTCTCTCGAGACTCTTCAATCACTTGTCGCATGCGCGCATTGGGCTTCAAGAGTCTCCAAAATGGCTGAAGTGGACGCTCTGCCCACGTTTGGCGCCGAATTGAAGGTACGTTCCAGACAGTCACAGCATCATACACGCACCCGCGCGCACATGCACACATGCTTCGTTGCTCCCATCTCTGCCCCCCCTCGCCTCTGACCATGGACTGCGCCTTACACGGTTTCATAGGATGGCTTCAAGCCCGCGAACGCGTGGGTCAGCCACGGCATCACCTGGCTCGAAGACATACAACAGTTCTACCGCGAACGAAGCGCCATCGAGAAGGAGTATTCTGGAAAGCTGAATGCACTGGCGAAGAAGTACTTTGAGAAGAAGAATAAGAAGACAGCGGCCCTCAGCGTAGGCGACACGCCCACCATGACGCCTGGCTCTCTGGAGAGCGCATCCTTGACGACCTGGACGACGCAGCTGACAACGCTGGAAAATCGCGCCGACCAACATGATCGATATGCCAACAATCTCGTCTCGCAAGTGGCCGAACCTCTGCGGTTCCTCGGCACGCGCTTCGAAGAGCTTCGTAAACGCCACGCCGACTTTGCGGCCAAACTTGAAGCCGAGCGCGATGCCCAATACGCCGATCTTCGGAAGGTCAAGGCCAAGTACGACGCATCGTGCCAAGAGGTGGAGAGTAAGCGCAAGAAGGCCGAATCCTCCTACGACAAGGCCAAGGCGCAGAGCTCGTACCAACAGCACATTTATGACATGAACAATGTCAAGAATACATATCTCATCGCCATCAACGTAACAAATAAGCAAAAGGAGCAGTACTACCACGAATACGTCCCCGAGGTCATGGACAGCTTGCAAGACTTGTCTGAATTCCGAACCGTCAAACTGAATGGCTTGTGGACGGTGGCGTCGCAACTCGAAGCCGGTCTCCTCCACCAGGGACATGGTTTGATGGAGACATTAACGTCGGAAATTACTCGAAACCAACCGCATCTCGACTCTCTGATGTACATGCAGCACAACGTGGGCACCTGGCAGGAACCCGCCGACAAGACATTTGAGCCGAGTCCCGTGTGGCACGACGATGACTTGATGGTGGTCGACGAGTTTGCCAAGGTTTTCTTGCGCAATGTACTGGGCAAGTCCAAGGGTCAGCTGGGTGACCTTCGCCGTGAAGTGGACAAGAAGAGGCGGGAGGTTGAGGGCGTGAAGACACTCAAGCAGCGAGTCCGCAACGGCGCCGAAAAGAAGGACGAGGTCACTGTTGTGACGCAGCTCTTTGCTCTACAGGAGGAACTGCATGCTGTGGACAGGAAGAGAGTGACGGCAGAAGTCGAAACGTCAACCATTACCTCGGTCGTCGGCGACGTGACGCTGGGTGCCAAAAACCACAACTTCAAGGGCCAGACCTTCAAGATTCCGACCAACTGCGATCTCTGCGGCGAGAGGATCTGGGGCTTGTCTGCCAAGGGGTTCGATTGCAGGGACTGTGGCTACACGTGCCACAGCAAGTGCGAGATGAAGGTGCCCGCCGACTGTCCCGGCGAGCAGACGAAAGAGGACCGCAAGAAGCTCAAGGCGGAGCGGCAGGGTGCCGCAAATGCGCTGCTCAAGCCTTCCAATGGGACGTCAGGTCACGCGGCAGAACTACCGAGCCTCAGCAGGACAAACACGATGAACTCGTTGAGCTCAGGATATGCACATAGCGCCCAGCGATCCGTTTCCGGCTCCATCTCGGGTCCCCGATCACCAATAGATGAGACGCCACCGCCAGTTGAGCCGACGAGCCCAAGACCGACGACGGCCGCGCCATCGACCGTCAGTACGGCGACGGCGCGCAAAAACCGCATCATGGCCCCGCCCCCGACTGCATACATTAGCGAACTGCCTGGCAGTGCCCCCAACGGGTCATCGTCGAGCGCAGACCACCAGAGTGGCAAAATGCTGTATAGTTTCGAAGCCTCGGGCGATGGAGAGCTCAGCGTAGCCGAAGGACGCGAAGTCATTCTGCTCGAGCCTGATGGTACGTGGGAGCTATTCACAACTGACACTTGACTGCTACAGGCGCTGACGTGATCTGCAGATGGATCGGGATGGCTCAAGGTTCGTGCTGGCTACAAAGAGGGCTTGGTGCCGGCCACATACGTCGAGATTTTGGCAGCACCGACTCCAGCACCAGTCATAGCGCAGCACACGGGGGCTTCAGGCCGGCCAGACTCGACGTATAGCAACTCTGGGTCGTCCGTTGGGACTGCGGGCATGGCGAAGAAGAAGGGACCGGCGGTGGCGCCGAAGCGGGGAGCGAAGAAGCTCAAGTACGTCGAGGCGATTTACGAATACACAGCACAGAGCGACACGGAGCACAGCATGGTCGAGGGAGAGAGGTTTGTGCTCATCAAGGAGGATCCAGGCGACGGATGGGCCGAGGTCGAAAAGGGGGGTCAAATCAAGAGTGTTCCGGCGAGCTACGTGCAGGTCGTCTAGGAGGCACTTGCAGCGGGGGAGAAGGAGGAGGGCGGCCAAGCGCGGTGTGGCCCCGAGACGGTCGGATCGCCGCGCCGTCAAGCACAAGTCGAGGCCAGAGCGGAGAATCATCCGAACCGAAGCACGCCGACACGAGCGGCTCGGGGCCAGACGGCTGCTTCAGCCTCAACATGGCGCGCCGAGGGATTGACGAAAGTAACGAGTGTACGGCTGGTACGGCGCGACTCGGGACTCCGAGAGCGACGCATGAAACGGCGGAGCGAGCATGGAACATTGTTGGCGCCGACGTGCCGAGCTATTGATTGATGGACAGAGCAGGCAGTCTTTGAACGCAGGGGCCCAGCCGGCACATTGTATCATGTACGCGTATGGCCCGAGTATAAACGTATGGTAGAGCAGCCATCCATCGGCGCAAGGCGGGCGGTAAAGGAAAGGATGGGGGGCTGTCTGTCACCTTGGTGTCACCTTAGATTGTAGTTTCTGATCACACATTCATTCAGTTTCGAGCACTGTCCTCTGAGTTTTGGCGGTGCCGTGTGACAAACCGGCCATAGGGGTTATAAGAATGAAGCGACAAGGGCTCAACCTGGTCGGGGCGCCAAAGTCAGATGGACGGGCGGCGACGATGGGACGGCATAGCGCGTGCGCGTCATCGTGGGAGGCTAGCAGCAGCGGGAGCATCGTCAAGCAAGGTGCCTCGAGCAATAAGGTAGGCAAGGTATGTTGCGGCGCAGCGGGTGACGATGCACTGGCGCAAGCTTCTTTGCGAGGGAGGGCAGAATGGGGGGGCCAATGGCGGGTTGGCAGTGGACAGGGTGGAAGCTGCCCACAAGGAGGTACAGGTACGATACCTTGGTGATCAGGTACCTAGGACCTACCGGGTAACTAAGGTAGCAGGATCAATTGAACAGGAGCTGCTTGCTGTTGCAGGGTGGGGGCTCCAGCCGAGCTTAAATTACAAGGACCGACCTGCTTGCCTGCCTCTCTGTCCGAAGAGATCGGGCTCTTCCAACTTGCCACGGACAAACCGGGGATGACGGACCTAAGATTGCGTTCGACCGGAAGTTGATTGCTGTCTTCCTTGGCGCACCACAGAGTGTGTCATGACGCCCAAGGCGAAGAGGCCGATCAATCTTGGACTGGCAAGCACAGCCCCAATAACTAGGACCGCGTCGAATGGGCCGAAGTATTTGGGGAGGGGTGGAGGACTCTTATTTTTTTTTCCCACCCTCACAGACGGCCGTTGCTGCTGGCTGGCGTCTTGGCTGGACGAGCGAGAGAAGACGCGTCGTGGGTGCATATCGTATTTTCTCGAAACCGATGAGCGATGCGGATGGATGTGTGCCAATGCGGGCCCCCTCCCCTGGTTGCATGGCGACTGGCAGCGATGTTGGGACTAGTGCGTCATTAAGGTTGGTGACAGGGGGGGCATGTTAGTGGCGGGAGCTCGCTCATCGCTCATCGCTCATTGGGACCTAGGTGGCCTGCGATAACAGGTACCACGACCACCGCTACTTTCCGGGGAAAGCACGACGAGTGCAGGGGTGGAGGGAGGAAAGAACATGTCCAGGCCGAACCACAAGAATCCAAGGGAGTCGCTGGACGGTCTCACAGGTTGGCTGATTGACTGCCTCACAGTGGTACAGGAACAAAGGTCAATCTCCTCGGCGCAAAGAGACAATGGGTGACAGCGTAAGAGGCAGGTTTGATGAGCACGCCTTCCTCAGACTAGCAACGCTGCACAAGGGGAAGTACCGGGCAGGGACGAGGCATTAGGACAAAACAAACTGGGAAGGCACGATGTCTTGGCAGCGCACCCATGGTGGGCAGCACCAAGGCGCCAACAACCTGCACGCCTCTGGGCTACTCTGGGCTACACTGGGCTACTCTGGGCACCCGCATCATGCCATCAGGACAAGAAGACCCGTCCCTTCCTGCTCATTCTCCCCTCGTGCCTCCTTCTCTCTTCTCCTCCTCCTCCACCTCCTCATCGGGCTTTTACCACCTTCTAATTCCACGAGACGACGCGTAGAAGGGTCAACTCGCTCGCTTTTTGGTTGACTTGCCTCGCTCGCTCCTGCCATTGTCGCCTTTTACCAACATTCGCTGTCACTTCACTCTGTCCCAACACTCTCTCGGGACCCTTTCTTTTTTCTTTCCCCTCTCCGCTCATCCCGGCAGTATCACCACGAATCGATTGCAAAGAAACATAAAATGAAGGCCGCTATTCTTTCCGCCCTTGCGGCTGTCACCATCGCCGATGCTGCCTCCAAGACGACCCGGCAGACACCCGACAGGACTCGCTCCCTGCCCGCCATATCCGTCTCTGGCAATGCATTTTGGGCCGACGGCGAGCGCTTCTACATCAGGGGCATCGACTACCAGCCCGGTGGTGCGGCCGCTAACGAGGACCCTCTCATCGACACGGAGGTCTGCACCCGCGACATTGAGCGCTTCCGCCGTCTCGGCGTCAACGCCGTCCGCGTTTACTCCCTCGACAACAATGAGAACCACGACGAGTGCATGGACCTGCTGGCCGACGCCGGCATCTACCTCATGGCTGATGTGAACAGCCCCGAGTACTCCATCAACCGCGAGGAGCCTCACCCCTCTTACAACGCAGACTACCTCCAATCCGTCTTCGCCACGGTCGAGATGTTCGCCCAGTACGACAACACCATGCTCTTCTTCTCCGGCAACGAGGTTGTCGACAACGAGAACAACACGGATTCCGCTCCCTACGTCAAGGCCACGACCCGCGACATCAAGAACTACCTGCGCGCCCGCGGCCTGCGCCAGGTCCCCGTCGGCTACTCGGCCGCCGATGTTGCCTCCAACCGCAAGCAGACCGCCGACTACTTCAACTGCGGCAGTGACGATGCCCGCAGTGACTTCTTCGCCTTCAACGACTACTCGTGGTGCAACACGGACTTCCTGACGGCTGGCTGGGACCAGAAGGTCCAGAACTTTACCGACTATGGTCTGCCCATCTTGTGAGTATCGTCATGTCTCGTGCGCCTCTTGACCGTGCTGGACTGACCTCTCTGCGGCCTCTCCGAGTTTGGTTGCATCACCAACGGCGAGCGCACCTTTGGTGAAATCGAGTCCCTCATGCACAGCAACATGACGTCCGTGTACTCGGGCGGCATGATGTACGAGTACTCCATGGAGGACAACGACTACGGCATTGTCGACATTGAGAGCAACGGCGAGATTGAGGAGCGTGACGAGTTCCAGAACCTTGCCGACGCCTTCAGCCGCTGGCCCGCTCCCAGCGGCAGCGGCAGCCCCGCCCACTCCACCACCCACTCCGTCTCTTGCCCGTCGCAAAACTCGCTGTGGGAGGTTGATGGTGATGAGATCCCCACCATGCCGGAGGAGGCCGAGCAGTACATGCAGAACGGCGCCGGCGAGGGTCCCGGCCTCCGCGGGCCCGGATCCCAGAACGCCCCCGACAGCGGCACCTCGACCGGCGGCATCGCCAGCGGTGCGCCCTCGCCCACGGGCAGCGAGGCCCCTCGTCGCAGCAACGACAACGGCGGCAGTGAGGATAGCAACAACGACAGCGCCGCCCGCGGTCTCGTCATTGAGAAGGACATTCTCATGGTGACTGGTGCCGTCGTCGCCTTCACGCTCTTCGGCGCTGTCCTTCTATAAAGACGTGTGTCTTGGAAGAAATCGGGTCAGAGGAGCTTCTTGGCTTTTTTTTCGGGGGTTGTTTCAAGAGGCTTTCGGGCCCCATCTGGTTTGCTCTATGAGATGGAGTTGATTTGCCGTCGACCAGCGCTAGATGCTGCTTCGTCGGGGGCCGTGATGACTGGCGTCCGGTTTGCGAGGAGGCTCTCTTGTAAGGGTCAGCTGTATACACATGTACATACCTTTTTTTGGCACACGCACAGCAACACGGTATAATGCACATGAACTCGGTTGTGAGACCTCTTACCTATCAGTGCCTACCTCACGCGTCATGGCGTGGAATATCGAGATTCATCACCTCATCCGTTCCAGTCTACGTTCTTTCAAGGTAGGACAAGTGACTAGGTTTCCGAGTCTGCTTACGAGCTAACAACAACCTTAAGCTGCAGCGTGCCACCTCTAGGTCATGCATCTCAATCTCCTTTTCCTTTCCCTTTTGGTGGCCCTGGGTACATCGGCCTGACCTTGGAAGTCCGCATGCGTGAGCTGTCCTGCTCCACCGCCAGTTCATCGGCGCTTGTATCCGACTTTACGTAGCTGGGCTCATCCTCCTCCTCCTGCTCTTCTCGCACAGTCTGGCCGAGGACGCATTCACGCTCCACATACGGGTCTGCCGTGGTCCAGCTGTGGTGGCTGTTGGCAGATGTGTTCGCAGCTTGGCGCCTCAGATTGTCCAGCTCCACGTCATTGCTGCCGCCGGAACCGCCGCTGCGGTGCAAATGTCCTCGCCGCGTACTCTCGGTCACGCTGCGTTGGCTGGGTGATCGTGACACAAGTTCCCGAACATCACGCACAACGTCAAGCGCTGCTCGACCAGCGCTGACATTGGCGTCAACGAGCTTGTTCTTTCGTCGAATCTCGGTCCAGCGCGTCATGGGGCCCAGTTCGAGGATATTCATACGGCGCGTCTTGGCTACCGGATTGCCAATGACGATCGGACGCCACGGCTCGTCTTCGGCCACGGCATCATCGGTTCTGGGTGTGCCTCCCGGCAACGAGGCCCGGCGGTGTAACGATTTGCGACGGACTTCAGTCCAGCGGTCCATCTCAAAAGACTTGCACGCTGGAATGATTTGGACCTCCTTGAATCGGATGAGTCCAATGAGAAGGAGTAATGTCAAGACGAACAGTATGCCTGCCACCACACCTGTCGCGGCTCGCTGCCCGAGGTTTCGCAGAGAGAGGCCGCCAAGAGTCGAGGCTCCTGCTGCAAAGACAAAGGCAAAGGTGTGGCACAGGGCAAGGCCAGCACTGACTCTGGGGAATGAGGAATAATTTGTCCTCTTCTTGGACGTGGCCGATTCCTCCCGCGGATGTCCAATCATTCCTGGCTGCAGGTCAGATGTGTCAAAAGTTTCCATGATGAACCCGTTGCACTCAGAAATGGCCAGGCAGGAAAGGAACCCTATCAGGGCGGCGATGATGGCGGGAACGCTCGGGTGCATCGGGGGGCCCTCCGAAACCATGGTGTAGATAAGGCCAGCCAGAGGGAGGCCAATTGCGAATATGGTACGGCGGAGGAGATGAGATGTCCAGAGGAATTTGTTGTCAAGGGTCATCCTGCTGGTATTCTGCTCACGATGCCGCGCTCGCGAGAAAATGTTGGCTTTCTGGAACGGAATCCCCACGAGCGCTCCCAAGGCGATGGCAGCAACCATGAGGCCGACGAATGGCGACCGCATCCTGTAGAATCTCGAGGACAACGATCCCAGAAACAATATGATGAGCACGACTTGAGCGTAGATCCAACCGACATAGATAGCCATGACGGCGAAACCGGGCTGGCAGAGCATCTCGAGCGAAAGGAGTACGCCATGCCAGACCTCCTGTCCCCACCATTTGGGCCCTGTCTTTATCCTGTGCATCATGACCTCCCCTCGTGCAAGGCGCCGGGAGATGGCCGTTTCGGTCCGGACTTCTGCAACAGATCGTCGGAATGCGGATCTTCTGACTTCGGGACAAATTGTGTTCAGCAAGAGGGTAATGACAATGAGTATGATACTCAGGTAGAAGCCCCATGCAGGCCGAAGACCGTCGATAATCGCAGCACCTAGAAGGAAGCCGATACTGAGGGAACCAATCCAACACCATGTCCAGATTCCGAGCCAGGCACCGAGTCCTCCTCCGTGTCTCCTGACGTCGTGCTCGTCGACGACCTCCTGATGAGGGTTGCCACTCATCAGAGAAGCACCGAAGAGGTCTGTCAACATGGAGTGAAAGTTCATGCTCGAGAACCCAAGCGAGATTCCCATCAGACTGCGGGGGATCAGTAACACCAATCTCTAGGCGGATATGTTCTGAAATCTCTGGGCATAGACCGCCAGTGCCTGTGGGAATAGGAGACCCAGGGAGACAATGAGGCCGCCCAAAATATATGGCTTTCTGCCATGGAGCAGGGGTAGTGGCCAGCAGAAGAATGTAGGCAAGGCCATCCCGAGAAAACATCCAACATTGCCGTAGACGGTTGCGTGCGTGGTGTCGAGAATGTAGTACTGGATGGAAGGGACGATACCGGCGTAGATGCCCAGAATCACTCCAGTCAGTGCAGTGCTTGTACACGCGACCATGGCCACAAACTGCTTGCGGGCGGGTGACCAGTCCCGTGCGATGGGTTGTCGTCGATGTGACTTTGGCAGATTGAAAGCTCGGACGCCAGGCAAACTGACATGAGATTTGTTACGAAGGCTAATGCCGCGACCGTGGCGTATTCCGCGGCCTGCAGCATCATCGTCCGGAAGATCTCCGTCGTTGCTCCCCTCTCCTGCCCGTCGGTTCGCCAACCTGGTGCGGATCGACCCATCTTCCTTGCGCGGTGTGCCGTATTGGGTCATGAAATCTATGACATCTGCCCCGTCGGATGACTCTTCGGGTCTGTTGATTCCTGGGCATGTATGGAAGGGTTCGGGCACGGGTTGTTGACGACGAGTTGCTCGTGGCATGCTTGATGAACGCACGGGGATTCGACGAACCTCGTTTTCAGGCAATATCAAACAAGCCTCATCTGTGCAGGGTACACAGTTCCCGCAACCGGTTTGCGTTGTCGGGGTCAGCATCGGTTTTCGCATTGACGGCTGTGAGTTCTGGTGGCCAACAAGGTCACGTAGGCAGGGATGATTCGGCATCGGCAGTGTGGCAGCTCGTACGTACTTGCGCTTTTTCAAGTCATCAAGATCGTCCAGGTCAATAGTCTCCAGATTTGTAAGTATGTCGTCGTTTGGGGTGGTCCTAGCCCCACCAGACTCGGGGTTTGAGAGCAACGGTGACTTCGCTGAGTCTTGCTGCGTGGCCTCCTGATGATCAACAATCTGGCAAGCTACCGCAAGAGCTTCATCCAGGAGACGCTCCATCTCGTTGACGGCCTGCTTGAAGGCACCGGGTTCGATTTTCGATGGAGGTAAGGTGGATTCGCGTGTCAAACTGCGAGGGGACATGGATCTTCGAGCAGACGCCGTGGGAAGCGGCTCCGTGTTCTCGTTGCTGCCTCTTCCGCGTGGCATACTTTCGAATCGTTCGGGACGCTCAGTCAACGCTGCGCTGTATCCGTCACGGTTGAGCAATAAATCTCGGAGCCATTTCGCTGTGCGTCTGTAATCGAGAGCATGCACCCTTGGTGGCTGTGGATTTGGTGGGTGGAGAT